CCATTTTATGTGCAGACCTGAGTGGTGGGGTATTAAATATTTGTCTTTGTGGCATCATATGTGTGGATGTCTCATACAGACCCAGGCACAGAGCAGGTCCCTGAAAAGGGCAGCTGGTTCATGGGCACCATCCCAATCATCTGTCTGGCTCCATCGTCTGTCTGGAAGCTGCCTACTGAGACTAGAGTGGCCCACCACCATGTCCGGCTTATTTTTAAATTTTTCTGTAGAGAACGAGGTCTTACTGTGTGGCCCAGGCTGGTCTCATTTATCCTCCCCACTTCATGGAGGTAACAATGGCAGAATGCTTTTCTGGAATAATATTTTTAGGGGAGGAGACCCCAAATTACATTCAACTATTTCCTCTTTTTTTTACAGTCTCACTCCTTCGCCCAGGCTGGAGTGCAGTGGCACACATGCTCACGGCCACCCAGCGTTGACCTGCTGGCCTCCGACGACCCTTCCGCCTCAGCCTTCCAAGTAGCCAGAATTACAGGCATGTGCTGCCACACCCGGCTATTTTTTATATGATTGTAGACACGAGATCTCACCAAGTTGCCCGAGCAGGTCTCGAACCCACAGGCTCAGGCAATCCACTCGCCTCAGCCTCCCAAAGTGCTGGGATGACAGGCTGAGCCACCAAGCCCGGCCACATTCAACTATTTTCTAAATATTATTTTGGATATTTTCCAATGCCCCAAATGGCACTGCAAGGTAGCTATTATTAGGCCCAGTTTTACAAAGGAGAAAACTGGGCATAGCAGTTCAAATAACATGGCTAAGGGGAGAAAGCAGGGATAAAACACAGTGGTCTGATTTCAGTGGGCTTGTACTTCCCACGAGCTCAAATTAAACCTACTTTGTGCGGCATGGGATTAGAACATGCCTGATGATTCTAATTGCAATATCTTTTCTGGCATGATACTTTTTCTTGGGAAAGGAATCTAATTCTTTTATCTGCTTTTACTTTTAAAATCTCTCTTCACCTGTAATCCTGTGCCTTTGGGAGGCTGAGGTGAGTGGATTGCCTGAACCCGCGGGTTCGAGACACGCCTGGGCAGCGAGACCTCATCTCTACAATAAATCAAAAAATCAGCCAGGCGTGGTAGCGCATGCCCGTAATTCCGGCTACTTGGAAGGCTGAGGCGGAAGGATCGCCGGAGCCCAGCAGGTCGAGGCTGCAGTGGCCGGGAGCAGCCACTGCACTCCAGTCTGGGCAACAGAGTGAGACTCCAACTCAAAAAAAAAAAAAATCTCTCTTCAAGTTCATGTAACATCTACACATTTTTCTTCAATTTTTGCATCAACCCAGGGCCAAAAGCAAACACAATTCTGACCTACAAAATAAAAAAGGCATAACAATGTATTGGAATCTCTTGACTAATAACATGAAAATATCACCAATTTCTTCACAATGATTGATTCTGATATCCCTAGAGTATAAGCTAAGTTACTCCTGTTAAAATAATTAATTGGGAGGTTGTTAGTCTGGGATGACCATAGCACCATGGGTTCCCATGAAAGCAATCACAATCCAATTTAATGCAAACAGTAAAACAAAATACAATTAACCAATCAGAAACGTCCAACTAACTTCCCAGAAGGAACTTTGCACTTTAACAATTACATTATTTTCTTCATCTTACTTCTGCAAACACCTTGCAAAAGTGTGTTCCTTGCACACACACCCCCCCCCCACACACACACACACACACAAGATGGAGTGTCAAATTGCTTGCTGTCTAGTGTCACTTAATTTCATGAACAGCTGAATGGTCAAATAAACTCACTAAAATTTTAATGTGCCTAAGTTTATCTTTTAACACGTGTAGAAATTGTAACCATCGTTTTTTCTGGGTCATGAAAGTACTCAACCTACTCTGTCTTGGAGACTGATAGATAGAAGAGCAAAGAGCTCCGTGAAGGGGTACAGATGGATACAGGGGACACAAACTGCCAGCAAAGGGGGTATCAGAGCCTAGATGGGGAATGGCCTTGGTAAGGGCCCCCAAGTTATTCTGATGTAACCCCATGAAGAGCCACCTCCCAAATGACTGAAACTCACGGAGTTACCCCAGGCCTTTCATTTCACAGGTGGAGGAAAAGGGTCCTTCAGAGGGAAAGCAATAAGCCCAAAGTCACAGGGAGATAGAAAAGGGAGGATCAAAATCCAGGCTTCCACTATACACAGCTTTCCTACCATGACATCATGCTTCCAGGTGCTGGCCTTACTATTATTACAAGTTGGACCACGTGAAATCAATTTTTACAGATTTCTTTTCCTGCAAAAATGGCAACTTCAACTGGGCATGGTGGCTCATGCCTGTAATCCCACTATTTTGGGAGGCCGAGGCTGGAGGACTGCTTGAGCCCAGGAGTTGAAGACCAGTCTGGGCAACATAGCAAGACCTCATCTCTACAAAAATCAAAACATAGCCTAGTTGTGGTAATGCATGCCTATAGTCCCAGCTACTCAGGAGGCTGAGGTGGAAGGATAGCCTGAGTCCAGCAGGTCAAGGATGTGGTGAGCCCTGATCATGCCACCGCACTCCAGCCTGAGTGGCACAGCAAGATTCTAACTCAAAAAAAATGGCAACTTCATATGGTTCTACCTAACAAGAAGTTAAAGAGAAAATAGGACCATGTAGTAAATCATTTATGGCATGGGACACTCTAACATTGTAGATGATATTGCTTCACATAGCCCAAATGGCAAAGCTGCAACCATCTCTCAGCTGTATGGGACGTTAGACCATGAGTCTAAGTACGAGAACTAATTTTCATAAAACTAAATAGCCGTGGCTGACGGCTAGAATAATTCATTCCAGGTACAATGCCATGAAGTCAACTTTGTAAGTGCAAAACCAGGACACCTGCATGCAAAGTTGTCAGCCATGTTAAATAAAGAAAAAAGACACCAGCTGTTACTATTACCTATAAAAATCTAAAAGAAGCTAAGCAAGAACCGGTGAAATCTTTGGTAATTCTTCCAAAATCTCATCGCTGACAGAATACACACGCTTATCCTCTCCACACCTCTGTCCAGGCCCACCTTCCTCTCGCTTCCATCACACAGGGGCCTACACACAACCTCCTTCCAAGTGCTTTTCCAGATCTTTCTTTCCTGGGAGACAGGCAGTATCCCAACCTGTGCCTCTGCTGCATTGGACATAACTTTCATCAGACGACAGCTAAAGTATTTCTTCAGCTGTTTGCCTTGTCTCTCCCCCTGCTGGGCAAGCCCTTCAAAAGCAGTGACCATCATACTGAGTGTGCTATTGCAATATACAACACATGTAACACTACAGTATCATATATTATCAATAACATTAAGACTATAAACATAGACCACATAATCACTTAAAAAGCAACATGATCAATAGCATTAAGATTATAAACATGTACCACATAATCACTTAAAAATCACAGCCTATGTTAAAATTTTGAATCTAAAGCGAATCTGTGCTATAGAGCCATTTTCTATGAAATTTCTAAAATATTCAAAACCCTAAAAAGCTGAATACACTGAGAAACGAGGAACAGCAGTGAGGTTCCAGTCCTGGGATGGCAGCTGTGGGGTCAGAGCTCCCGCCTGACAGAAGGCTGACATCAGGCACAGGTGGAGATCAAGAGCATTTCATTCTCAGAGTCCAGACTTTCGGTTACCTTCCCCCTAAAAGGATTTTTTTTAAGTCATAAATACCACGCAGAATAGGCAGAGGCGAATGTAGCCCCTGAGCTAAGTGGCTGGGTGGGAAAGGGGGCTTACAGAACCAAACCAGAGGTAGGAGAAGGACATTTGTAAAGCCAGTTTGATAAAAAACCATTTAACTGCTCATACAATCACATGCCACTGTTAACTTTTAAGTTTTTAAATTATTGATGTTATTTCATGCTTGGAAGTTCATCATTAATAGTGCAGGTATCTTCTCATCTGTGTTTGTCAGAAAGACCAAATGATCCCCATGTCCTTGATAAAACATGCTCTTTTGGAGTACCTGCAGGCTCACAAGCCACTGGCAGAAAAGAAAAAAGACCCCAGGAAAATACAACCCAATCATTTTAAAAGAAATTACAAATATTAATAATAAAAATTCTGCAGTAAATAGATCTGAGAAGTTAAACAATATAAGAAAGGAAAAACAAACAGAACCATGCGATGTCTAAATTCCTGCAGGGAAACCCTGCACTCACCTTTACCTCAACATATCCTTCACAGGGTCAAGCAGAGTCTCAAAGTTCATTCAGAAATGTCACTTACCAAAACATTCACTGGTAATACATCGGTGTGCCTATGCCATGTCTGAGTCTTTTTCGGTTCCCAGATGATCAAGCAAAACAGATTAACGTTTGTTCTCTAAGTTCTCTGGAACTACTCCAAATAGTCCTCCTCTCTGTCTAGTTGTCCCTGATGTTTAATACTAGAGTTCTACAATGTCACTGTACTAGTTATTCTAAATAGTACCCCCACCCTCTGAAGTGTCCTAGAAGAGAAGGACTCAACAAACTCACATTTAACAACAGCAAGAATAAGAAAACATTTGCAGCCGGGCGCAGTGACTCAGCCTGTAATCCCAGCACTTTGGGAGGCCAAGGCGAGATGATTGCCCAAGTCTAGGGGTTCGAGACCAGCCTAGGCAACTACAACAAATTTGTCTCTACAATAAATCACACACACAGAAACTAGCCAAGCATGGTGGCATGAGTCTGTAGTTCCAGCTACCTGAAAGATTGAGGTGGAAGGATCACTTAAGCCCAGCAGGTCGAGGCTGCGGTGGCCTTAAGTGTGCCTGCACTCCAGCCTGGGTGATAAGAGTGAGACTCCAACTCAAAAAAAAAAAAAAAAGAAAAAAAAACTTAGACCAAAATGAATTGTAATTAACACAGTACCTTTTAAAAATGTAATCCAAGACACAGAATAATTACGTTAAACATTTTAAACAATTTCTTCCTGGTATAGTGCATGTAGTATCTACACAATTCTTATTCACTTAACTTACCTTTTGAATGACCTTGTTAATCACTGGAGTGCTTGGCGTGTATAGTATTTTTCCATGTAATACAGGTTTTAGGAAAGACCACACCAAAGCTCCATTTGGGGACTGTAGAATTTCCTGATAAAGTTTCAAGCAAAATGGTGCTGCCACAATTAAAACAACAACATAAAAAAAAAAGTCTTAGGATACAGAGTTTGTTCAGAGTAATAGCAAATTCATTCACATATTCAATGAATGATGTAAATATATTTTCCCTGACACAACTCTGAACTTCAGAAGTGCTATCATTTGAACACCTGCCCTTCCCCGCAAAACCTCATGTTGAAATTGAATCGCTGAATTTGGAGGCATCTGGGGACTAATGGGAGGTATTTGGATCAGGAGGACAGATCCCTCATGAATGACTTGGTCTTATCCTCATGGAAATGAGTGAGTTCTCACTCTGTTAGTTCTCTGAGAACTGGCGTTTCAAAGGAGCCTGGCATCTTCCTCTCTCTATCTTACATCCTTTCTTATCATGTCATCTTGGGACACACCTTCTGCCATGAGTGGAAGCAACCCGAGGCCCCTAGCAGAAGGAGATACTGGTACCATGCTTCTGGTACAGCCAGAAGAACTATGAGCCAAATAAACCTTTTTTTTTTTCATAAATTACCCAACCTCAGTTGTCCTTTACAGTAATGAACTAAGACAGGAAGTAAGCCAGGAATATTTTTGCTTATTACAGTTTCTTTTTTTTTTTTTTTTTCATTAATCAGTATTTTTTATTATGGTTTTGTGGGGTACAGTTAAGGGTTAGGTGTACAATGACGTTTCATTCAGGCACCCTGTAGATAAGAAGTGTTTTCCCATCCCCCGACAGATATTTGCTACTGTTAATCCCATCCCCCTCCCCCCCATAGTTTCCCAGTACCATCCGTCATTTTCTCATAGTATTGCATTGGATGTTCAAGGTCCATTATATGAGTGAGAACATGTGATATTCGGATTTTTGTTTTTGTGAGAGGTCACTCAGTATTATAGACTCTAGTTCCATCCAGGTTGCAGCCAAATTCATGATTTTGTTCTTTTTTATGGCTGCGTAGTATTCCATCGTGTATATGTACCACATTTTTTTAATCCAGTCCTCTTTTGATGGGCAGCATGGTTGTTTCCAGGTTCTTGCTATTGTGAACAATGCTGCGATAAACATACGTGTGCAGGTATCTTTTTTATAGAGTGATGTGTGTTCTTCAGGGTATATTCCCAGTAGGGGGATTGCAGGGTCATATGGAAGGTCAATTTTTAGAGCTTTTAGGAATCGCCACACTGCTTTCCACAGAGGTTGCACTAGTTTACACTCCCACCAACAGTGTAGAAGTGTTCCCTTTTCACCACACCCTCTCCAGCAGCTGTTATGTTTTTGAGTTGTTGATAATTGCCATTCTGACTGGAGTTAGGTGGTATCTCAGTGTGGTTTTGATTTGCATCTCCCTGATGATTAGCGAGGTTGAGCATTTCTTCATGTGTTTGTTGGCTGCTCGAATG